GAGAGAGAGAGAGAGAGAGAGAGAGAGAGAGAGAGAGAGAGAGAGAGAGAGAGAGAGACAGAAAACGTTTTTAATGTAATTAGAATCAAATTATAGTTTACTATTTTTAATTGATCATCGTATAATATCGACCTAAACATGCTATTAGCACGGAACGCATCTATTTCACGTGCCACTTAATTACGATAGACACGGACCAAGGACATTCGTGATCTTCCATATTGATGATCATAATCTAAGTATTGTTCCTATCGAGCGTAATTGCGGCTCGCCACGAGAAATTCGAATTCTGTATACGCTATGTGTTCCATGCAGCACGATCCACGGACAATATCTCCCAATAATAGTTGCTCACTGCTTGCCTGGAGTGACGATTAGTATAAAGTAGATAATGACCGTCCTCGGCGGTCGCCGCGTATCATCATCATCCAAACAGTTGTATTCGACGATATCACTCGTATTTGTACGATGACGTCGAACTTCTCGGTCTTCGCAGGCACATCGCAGTATTGTCGTTCTCTGAGATACGAGATAAATAGATTATTCCGTTTTGTATCTGAATTTTGAAACATTCCGATAAGCACCGGCGCGACGTGACAACACTAACTGATCATTCGAGCCCAGTATATTGTTTGCCTTTTACCTTAGTTAGACGTGATAAGAAAAAGGAAAAAACATTGAGAAGGTGAAAGAAGAAAGGAAGAAAAAAGGAGATTGAAATTTTGGATTAAAAAATTGAATATATAATTAAAATCTGAAGAACTGAAGATCTCGAAGAGGAATGTAAAAGATAAGTTGAATCTATATATATATATATATATATAAACAATTAATAAATCAAATTGCTAGAAATCTGATAAAATTCTTGAATTGAATAATCTTCAATTTTCTTATGGTGAATAATTTTATTAGAGAATTGTAATAATTGGGAAAATATTGCCAGTAAATTGTGAATTTTTCACAATATTAATTTTTATCGGCGTGGGACACAAACATGCGGCACTAAATGTCTGCGATGTAGCGATCTTTGATATATCGCATTGTTTTCTGTATTTATCTCCTAAATGATAAATGAAAAAAAAAGAAAATCTAAATCAGAGAAAACGAGGATACTCGCGGAAAAAATTTTATCTCCTGAGTCTCGAGAAGGGTAGACAACGCAAAATAATTGCGATAATTCGCAAACATTGCTGGTAAACGTCTCGGATCGACACTACAGTTATTTTTGTCAGATTAACAATCCTAATGGAAGATTATTAGAATCCTGATTCAACAGTGATAAGAATTTCGAAAAACAGTGAAAGTCGAAAGTTTGAAGATAAGTTTAGAAATTCCTTGGAAAAACTTTTCAATGAAAGTTTTTAAGCAGAAGCAGTTTAAGAAGTGACGAGAACTCCAAACAAAAGTTTCGAAACTACTGATTGGAACGGTGGAATTCTAAACAAACCGTATTATTTTCCAGTTTAGATAATTACATAATTATCGACCTTTAATCTTTTATAATTAATAATATATAACACAAACATAAACTATAAATATCTCTAAGATTATGGTGATAATTGTGATGCAATAGTGGAGTATATAAATACAGCGATAAAAGAGTACTTCACTTTCAAAAGACATTTGACAAAAACATGTGTCACGTTAAAAAAGTACAATCTCTACGATAAATAATATAGAAAAGTACAATTTCTAAGATAAATAATCTTTACGATAAATAATATTGAAACATGCGGTGTTCTACGTGCGCAACGGAATCAGAATACTTTGAAACTTCGTGGAAAATCAAGTTGGAGCAGATTCGCAGACAGCTAAGAACACTTTTTCAAAACACATTGGCGCGTTATTACAAAACAAAGAAGAAGGGCTACACTAGATTTCTGACGGAGGAAGAACAGAGGTGCAGAATTCTTTTCGTAAACATATGTATTTCATTTTGTTATACATTAGAGCATACATTTTGTTATACTATTAGAGCATTTTGTATACTTATATGCTATTTTACTTTTTTAATGAGAATTAACTTCATTAATTTAAAAATGATAAATATCTATATATGCGATTAAGAAAGAAATCTCTTGTTGTGAATTTATAAAATCATAAAATAACGCTTTTTAAGCTTTCACGGATATTATCTTCAAAGATAACAGAAGGTTCGCGGGTTATTGTCAATTATTAGCAATGGATAAAACATGACGATGACCTACAAACCTTTTGGTATTTTTTAATATCATGAAATATATTACTTGTACTATTTATATTATATCTTTTTCTACATGAAACGCATTTCTCTAAGATTTAATAAAAAGAATTATCATAAATTGTTCATGTCAATACAATTAATGTATTTATAACGATTATTGTATATCTTATTGATTTTTTTTCCTTAACCATGATTCATTGCCAAGACTACATTGAATATTTACACACACACACACACACACACACACACACACACACACACACACACACACACACACACACACACAGAGAGAGAGAGAGAGAGAGAGAGAGAGAGAGAGAGAGAGAGAGAGAGAGATTTTAAAGAATTTATATTACACTATTTTTATATAAGCAATAAATAGCACGTTGAATTAACTGAATGTTTATTGAATATGCACTTGAATGCTTTTAGGTGGTTGGTTACCGCCGAATATGACATATCCACCCGGCTTGGAATACCTTATGGACCTTGAATATCTTTTCGTGAACCAGAAAATTGAGTTGCTTCAAGGTGAGTTCTCGGCTTTGCCAAGAAAGATATAAATATAACGCTTCTCTTTTTGAGACTGCGCGCGAATATATGTATAGGTATATTCCAGATCCGCGAAGCTCGAGATTTACAATTGTTCGCTCAGTAAACGAAGCTATATTTGCTTTACGCGATATCTTCTCGTATTTGTATTATGATAAACTCAGAATTTTATACGCATAATACGTAATCATATAATTATAAAATCATAATTTAATATTATACGAATTCCATTTTATATATTATACGTATTTCATTTTATATTAAACGAAAAATTCACCGAATTACTTTATGATTTATTAATTACGCCATGGATTTCGAATTATTGTTTCATCGCTTAATGAATACGATATATTTTATACATTTTATTTTACATATTTCCTATATTATTTCAACATTACGTTACTTTATTACATTAAAGCATATTATTATATGTATATAAATTTTACTTTAACGTTGTCTTTTTCAGCTTTTACTGGATGGGAAACTAAGAACAAGTATGTTATTATGGATAACAGGGACGAACTAGTATTTTATATGGCCGAAGAATCGGGAATCTGTTGGCGATTGTGCGTGGGAAAGTATCGCTCGTGCGAATTTTCCATCTATGACAAAAATCGGCATGAGATTCTTCGTATGATCCGACCATTCAGATGCGATGGTTGCTGTTGTCCTTGTTATCTACAGGTAGTTTTATCATTAGAATTTCTTTAATATTTGATATTATTATCTCTGTAAATGAAATATTTTAGCAATTAGAAAAGAAAAATATTTACTTTGCACTATTATATTCTTCGAAGAGTCTTACGTTAAATTTGCTCTTTAAATAAAAATCAATAATTTTCTATTACTTATGACAATTAATTTTCGAACATTTTAAAATATTTAATGTATTTAATAAATTTTAGACTTCAGATTAAAAATGAAAATTATAACTATAGAAATCAAAGCCTTACACGGTCTACTTACTAAACTAAAGAGTTAGCGTTCTCAAAGATCAAAAAATCATTTCGGCGCGTGTTTTTGGGAACTACATACGTAGTATATAAATTCACGCAAGAATTATACAAGCATTTAAGATCCAGCTAGATCTGTAAAGCTTTGATTTCTATAATTGATTTCTATAGTTTATATTATCATATATCACGGTCCTATAATATGTTATATTGAAAATTAAATTTGTCTTCGCAATATTTAATATTTGCATTTACCAAGGTTTTAAATTTTAAAGAATAATTTTAAATAATATTTTGAAATAAATTTGTCTCTTTTAACTAACTATAACATTATTCATAAAGTGAATTTTTTATTAAATATTTAAATTCTAAATTATAAATAATCTTTTCTTAAATTTATTTTAATTATATTTTATATTGAATTATACGCACAATAATATTGCAAATAATAAATTTAATATCGAATTTAGAAGCGAGATGAGAACTACTGTTTTGTATCGTGTCTACTAAAGTTTCTTCACACGTGCAAGCCATCTGTCAAGTTTTCAACGAAAATTTGTTCGCATCGTCGAAAGATTCGATTAATATCCTTTGAACAAGAACGACAATATATTAATTTGTTCTATGTAGTTCATTTCTAGTTATAATTTATTTATTTGTTTATTTCTGATGTAAAAGGATATAAGATGCAATAAAAATTAAAAACAAATAATTGTATTCGAATTTGTTTAATAACTTCGGCTAATTTTATTTAGATTTTCAATTAAATAAGAATAAATTAGAATAAATTCTTATTTATATATGAGAAATTTCAATAAATTTGAGATTATTGATAAATTTTATTTTTAAGCTTTATTACAACTAGTCTTTGAATAGCAGATGACTAGTTTTTTTTCACAGGTTTTAGAAGTGTACTCCGGAAATACTCTACTGGGTAGCGTTACTCAAGAATGGAGTCTTTGGCGACCAAAGTTTTACGTTCGCGATGCATCCGGCCAACCAGTGTTAATGATAAAAGGTCCACTTATTCGTTTTTGTATTGATGTAACTTTTAAGGTATTGCAACATTTTAAATTTTATTTAATTTATGCCACATAATATTTTATTTTTATATAATATAGATTATATTATACTAATATTTTTTAATATTTTTTTTCGAATTAAGATACAAAAATTTTAAAATGAATGATAGATAATAAATAATATTAGAAACCTGATGATTATTTGATTCATGAATTATATTTTATTACATAATAAACATTAAGATTTTCAGAATCATAATTCATTAATAATTAAACCTGCAGATCAAATCTATGGATGAAAAGCATCGTGTCGGCATGATTCGAAAACATTGGAGTGGCTTTGGTCGAGAGATGTTCACCGTTTCTGATATGTTCGGTATTCACTTTCCGCGCGATTTGGACGTGAAGATAAAAGCTGTACTGTTAGGAGCGTGTATTTTAATAGTAGGTATTGTAAAAATACTACAATCGCTTTTCTTTTATCAAACGAGATGTAAAGAAGAAAAGCATAAAAAGAAACATTGCAACGAGAAAAAAATAATGCCGTTTTGTTTTTTATATTAATATCAAAATTAATTAATTTTAATTGGTTTTGAATATTTCGATTAAGAAATTAAATTGCAAAGAAAAATTTCTAATGCAAGTCAAATTACTGTATTAGTATGAACACAGTTTAATTTTTAGTATACTTTAATGTTGTTGTTAATGTTTTAGGACTTCATGTATTTCGAGCAGGAGAAATAAGTCAATCTATTTCAATTTTTAAAAGAAAACCAAAGCTTTGTTCGTATGAACATACACCTTCATCAACGTATTTTGTTACATAACAAATACCTCAAAAGTCATGTATCAACTTATAAGTACATTCAAAAATATTTTGTAACGTACAAATATCTCAAAAAATGTTTAACTACGGAATGCAAAGACGAAAACTTTTATACATATATATAT